GGTGGCAGCAGTGCACACCTTTAATCCCAGCACTTGGAAGGTAGAGGCAGGTAGAGATCTCTGTGAGTTCAAGAACAGCCAAGGCTACACAGGGAAACCTTGTCTGGACCCCCTCCCCTCCAAAAAAAAAACAAAGAAAGAAAAAGAAATTACCATTTCTGATTTTCACTTGCCATTCTTCATGGAATTTGGGGTATTGTCTTTATGCCGCCGTAGCCCTCTCTGCCCACCTCACTTTATGCATTTTGAGCCATCTAATGAGATAGAGTTGTTAGTATCCTTTTCCATGTTTGACTGACACCGAAATGCTTTTCCCTGCCTGCCTGCTTACCTATTATCTCCCTGCCTGTCTCCCTGTCTCTTACACGTGCATTGCACACGGATAATTGCCTTGGAAGGGCAGGAATCACAGGGTCTTTCCCTGCCCCTTCTCTCCAGTCTTTACACATAGAGCCTGCTGTGCATGCTTCATAAGAAATCTGTTTGGTCCTTGCATTTCTATTGGCATAGATGGATTTTGTTTGTTTGTTTGTTTGTTTTTAAATTTATTATGTATGCAGTATTCTGGCCTGTGTGTCTGCAGGCCCGAAGAGGGTGTATCAGAGCAGTTTAGGAGTTTCCATTCTTACAGTTACTTATGTTATGGGACTCCTTTCCTTCATATGACTTTTCTGTTTGTTTTTGCTGCATCTTGAAGCAGTATGTAATTCGGCATCCTTCTTTAGTTTCTCCCCAAACAAGAATGAGACCAAAATATACAAAGCTGCTTTGCATATTTTGGTCTAGGATGGGGAGGATGTTCTCTACGACAGCAATAAAGACAACTAAAATCTAGGTGTCTTTGGACTTAAGTGGCTTTTTGTTTGGTACATCCTTTTCTTCCTTTCGGGCTGCTTTTCATCTTCTCCCCAGAGCAAACTTCCATTTCATTCTGTGAAATAACTCTCTTTTCTAGTTCTACCTTTATATGCTGCTAGACCTACTCCACCTATTGCAGAGCCCAGCAGCAGAACAGGGGCTTAGAACTGCAGGCATTTGCTGCTGCTTCCTCCTCTGTGCATGGGATTGTTAGCACAGAGACCTCTTTCCCCACCTTACACTTCTTTTCAGAAGATAGAAGCAAGCAGTGCCATTTGTTATTTTAAATGTGAAGGTTGAATTCAGGGTCTTACATGTGTTAAGTACCCATTTCACCCGTAAGTCCATCTAAAATTTTTTTTGTTTGTTTTTGTTTCCTTTTCTTTGCCATTTTGATTTTTCTTTTTTAATTATCTTTTTTGAGACAGGTTTTCTACATAGCTCTGGAACTATTAGAACAGGTTGGCTGTCTACTTCTACCTATACAAGTGCTGGGGTTAAAGGCATATGTCACCATGCCCAGCTTGCCAGTGTGATTTTAGTAATTAAGTTTTTCTGTGTCCTACTGTCACTTATTCTAGGTAGGTTTTGACTGTCAAACTGGTTACTGTTAACTTGGAAGCCTGACTAGTAGTTTTCAACCCTTAGTTGAAGAAGTTCAATGTCTAACTAAGCAATCACTTTTCGACTGCTGGTCCTGGTAGAGGGACCTGGGTTAGACTTTCAGAGAGGTGATTTGTTCTTGGGCGTGAGACTTGGGACTCTTTTTAGTAGCAAACATGCTCCTGAGTGTAAGGGAGAATGTAGATCTAGAGAACTGAAGATTTCTCAAAGTGGATCACGATTGGACATAACCTTTTAATGCTATTTAAATTTGGCTTTGTGTGTGTGTGTGTGTGTGTGTGTGTGTGTGTGTACGTGAGCCCACACATGCACACAGGTATCCATAAAGGCTAGAAGAGGGTGTTGAATCCCCTGGAACTAGAGTTAGAGGCAGATATGAGCTACCTGATGTGCTGGGAACCAAACTTAGTCCTTCAGAAGAGCAGCAAGTACTCTTAAATACTGAGCCATTTGTCCAGCCCTGTTGTTTTGTTTTTGTTTTATTTTGAGACAGGGTTTCTCTGTAGGTTTGTAGGCTTTCTCCTACAACTCTGTTTTAAAACCAGGCTGGCCTAGAACTCACAGAGATCTGCCTGCCTCTGCCTTCTAGTGCTGGGATTAAAGGCCTGCACCATCACTGCCCAGCTTGGTCTTGAACTGTCTATGTGGATCAAACCCAGGACTTCATGCTGGCTAGGCAAGCACTCTATCAAGTCAGCTACATCCTCTCCCTAGAGACACATTGAACTTGATGTGTTTCTTTTGTCTCCTCAGTCTACGTAGATTTCTGAGCTCTGACCTTTTATTCTTGGGAACTTGACTGCCAGCTGCTGTATTGTGGTTACATTGCATTTTCATCTTTTCCCTCATTGAAGAGCTGTGTGAGCCAGAAGTGGTGGTGCATTGCATGAATTGTATGTAAACCTGGGCTACATAGCAAAACCTTGTCTGTTTGCCCCTGCCCCTTCCAAAAACAAAACAAAACAAAACACAACTGGGCCCTGCAGTTAGCAGTTAAGAGCACTGGCTGCTTGATTCCCAGCATCCACATGACTGCTCATACCATCTCTAATTGTAGTTCAAGGAGATGGGGTGCCCTCTGCTGGCCCCTGTGAACACTGCTTGCATGTGGTGCATAGGCATATATACAGTCAGAAACGTGCACAGGTTTGTGTACTCGTGTACACACACACACACACACACACACACACACACACACACACACACACACACACACACACACAAACACATTGGGTTTTTCTGTGTAATCTTGGCTATTCTGGAACTTACTCTGTAGAGCAGTCTGGCCAAGAATTCAGAGATCTGCCTGCCTTTGCCTCCCAGTGCTGGGATTAAATGCGTATGCCACCACTTGCCAGTGGGGGGGGGGGTGGGGTTTCCTTGTTTGTTTATTTTTTTTCTTTCTTTTTTGAGGGAAGGGCTCTTGTAGCCTACACTGGCCTCAGACTTGCTATGTAGCCATGGCTAGACTTGAATTCCTAATCATCCTGCTTCCAGCTCCCTAGTGTAGGGATTACAGGCACATGAACCACCAACCCTGCCTGGCTTGCTTGGGCAGTTTCTAAGGATTCTTTACTCAGATTCTCAAGAACAGGAAATGAGTATTTCTAAGGCTGTCACCAACCAGCTTGTTCTTAAGAAACAGCCAGCCCCACCTTCCCACAGAGCCAGGCTCATGGGCTTTGGTGAGGAAGATAACTTACTTATTATATTTTCCATCTGGGTTGCCCTTGGTCTCTTCTTCCCTTTTAGCACCCTGGGGCCCTCCTAACTACCCTTCTATTCCAAAGTACTAGTTTTGATCCTTTATGGCCAACACTATTTTTACTGCTTCCTGCTTCTGCCAGGGAACCTTGTCTCTCAGCAGTATTCTTCCTCCTCCCTCATACCCTTTGAGAGGGTCAGCCTGGGAGTTCCTCCTCACATTTTACTTTTTCCCCTTTACCTCTGGAAATAGACACTAACAGGGAAATACCTGGTGTCAAGGATGAGCCAAGGGCGTTTTGCCCGAAAGACAGGTGCACTTCATCATAGTTTGGAGGAAAAGTCAAAATATGGTGTTCCAGAGCCTACAGTGTAACATAATTGTTCCTGGTCTTAAGTGAATTAATAGGAATGCCATGCCCTAGTATTTGAGAGGCTCATTCCTGCATCTAAATTTCACTTTTTATCAGATTATCCTGTCTCTTTTGCTATCCATCTTTTGATATCCCCAAAACGTTTGTTTTGTTTTGTTTTTTGTTTTTTGAGACAGGGTTTCTCTGTGTAGCTTTGGAGCCTATCCTGGCACTCGATCTGGAGACCAGGCTGGCCTCGAACTCACAGAGATCCGCCTGCCTCTGCCTCCCGAGTGCTGGGATTAAAGTAGTGGGCCACCAACGCCCGGCCTACTCCAAAACTTTTAATTCCTTTCTGTATTTCTATAGAATATTAATTCTTTAGGAATTATTTCACTGGTGTAAGAGAAGGAACTCTGGGCTGTTACTGTATTCAAGCAGCAGCATGATGCCACCTTCTGATTCAGAATATTGTTCAGTATTCGGGATCAGCCTATGTATGGGAGTGCGTGGTTCCATCACTCCAGGATGTGTGTGTATATGTCTTAGTGTGACTGTCTTCAAAAAACATGTTGTGGGAGGTAATTTGTGTGATTGCAGAATCCTGCTGAATTCCCAGGGTAAATTTTTGTCATCTTTGTTTAAGAGAATAGGAATATTACTCTTTGTTACTTCTTTTTAATTAAATCTGTTTTCTTGGCTTTTGTAAAAGTTTGTTTATTGGCTTGGAAGCTACCTGATTTCAATGGAAGATAAACATCTGTATAACCTTGATAACTTTTCTTTCTTTCCTTTTTTTCCTTTTGAGACAGGGTTTCTCTGTATAGTACTGGCTGTCCTGGAATTTGCTCTGTAGACCAGGCTGGCCTTGAACTCAGATCTGCCTGCAGCTGCCTCCCAAATTAAAGGTATGTGTCACCACTGCCCTATTGTTTTTTTTAATTTCTTTTTCTTTTAAGCCATATTTTCCCTGCTCACAACTTTTTTTTTCTTTTAAGCAAGGTCTCACTTTGTATCCCTGACTGGCCTGCTATGTTAGACCAGATGACCTTAAATTTACAGAGCTTCTGCATGCTTAGTGCTAGGATAAAGGCTAGTGGCACTCTGCCCCACTGATTACTTTAATTCTTTTCCTTATCTTTTTTTTTTTGCAGAATAATTTACGCTAGTAATTGCCCTTTCTCTCTTCCCCTCCTTATTTTTCTTCCTGAGATAGGGTTTTACTCTGTAGCCTAGGCTGGCCTTAAATTCTTGGCAATTCTTGACCTTTGCCTCCTAGGATTAAAGTGTGAGGCAACACACTTGGCTTCCCATTCTTTTTGTTATCTAAATTCTGTTTATCTGCTTAGTCCAATTCCTTAGTTCAACCCAAATCTCTTATCTCTACAAAATTAGCAGATCTTGGTTACGTTAAAAAAAAAAAAAAAACAAAAAACAAAAAAAACAAAAAACTCTGATCTAGGCCTTTTGTGAGCATTAGGGAAATTTTTTTGGTGCACATGCATACATTAAGGCAAAACATTCATACTCACAAAATAAAAGAATTTGGGGGCGGGGGTGCTGGAGAGATGGGTCAGAGATTAAGAGCACTTCCTGTTCTTCCAGAGGTTCTGAGTTCAATTCCCAGCCAGCACATGGTGGCTCACAGCCATGTATAATGAGATATGGTGTCCTCTGGCCTGCAGAGATACATGCAAGTAGAATACTGTATACATAATAAATAAATAAATCTTTAAAAAAAAAAAAAGAGCCCGGCATTGTTGGCGCACACCTTTAATCCCAGCACTCGGGAGGCAGAGGCAGACGGATCTCTGTGAGTTCGAGGCCAGCCTGGTCTCCAGAGTGAGTGCCAGGATAGGCTCCAAAGCTACACAGAGAAACCCTGTCTTGAAAAACCAAAAACAAACAAACAAACAAAAGACAACAAAAAAAAGCCTTTGAAGCAAGGTTGCCCCTAATGCTCACATGACTCAGTGCATGACTAAAAAGGTATATTATCTAAATCAATCATACATTTCCCCTAGATTATTTATTTGTTACATAAATATAAACATGGGAATTTTAATTTTATGCTCCACCAGTACTGGTTTCATAAATCCTATTTCCTCCCAGTGCTTACTCAGATGTATTTATTATCCCTCATAGACTGTTATGCTCCTTTTCTGCCTTAACTACTCTTTGCCCTACTAACCTGCAGTACCCAGACATCTGTGGCTTGACTGTTTGGAGACTGATGGTGCTATTTCTTTTTGTTTTCTTGTTCCTTTTCTCAGTGGAGCTCTTCAGCCCCTCATCTTGAGAACCTCAGCCTTATTCTGCACATGCTTTGCTTGCTGTCATATTGACACACATGGAGCTCAGAGACAGGCAGATAGCTTTCCCGATTTTTTTTCTCTTCATATCCTTTCCTGTATGGGTGTGGAAACTGAGAACCAGAAAAGTGACTTGCCCATGATCTTAAAGATAGTGATGGTGTTTGCAGAAGTGGGTCTCTCTTCCTCTCTCCTCTTCCCTTCTCTCCCTGTTTCCTGAAGCAATAGCATTTCATACCATCATAGGCCAGGGGAAATTTGACAG